CATGTAATTTAGCCTTCTAACTGCACAGAAAAAAACACAGTGAGAAAAACAGAAAACATTGCTCTGCATGTGTGATTTTTCCATCTCCATGTAGTGATAGGAAATTATTTAAAAACAGTTAAACAAATATAAAGCTGTAATTAATACTATGTTGCATCTTTACATGATAATTTAAACACAACTAGATGTAAAATTTTTCAGAAAAAAGTACTCTGATTGGACCGTGTATCAGAATACATTGCAAAATACATTTAATTTGGGTATTTAGTATTCTGTAACTAAATACATTTTTGAAGTATTCTTCCCATCTATGACTATATACTGTGTTATATGTATTATATTACTGCATCAATGCTAATCTTTATTTTTTTATATATAGGACCTCATTTCTTATTAGGACTTGGCCCAGTTCTTTCCTACAGTCGCTTTATTTGGACTGGCATTGGTACGGCATGCAACTATTATAACAAGAAATACGGCAGCATCGTGCGGGTGTGGATCAATGGCGAGGAAACTTTGATTATTAGCAAGTAAGTCAACCTTCTGTTCTTTCCGAATATTTCTGAAAATAACCATGTACATTTTTTACATAGGTCATCTGCAGTTTATCATATTTTGAGAAGTCCTCACTATGTAGCAAGATTTGGGAGCAAAAAAGGACTAGAGACTATTGGGATGGCGGGAAATGGCATAATTTTCAATAGTGATGTGGCTCTTTGGAAAAAAGCAAGAACATATTTTTCTAAAGGTAAGAAAACAATTATTTCAACACACAGTTCTAAGTAAAAAACAAAACAAAAAAACAAAACAAAGATCATAATTGTTGACTGTGTGCATATAAAAAACTATACAGCTATAATTTTTGCTGTATGTCTGTCCCAGCTCTGACAGGCCCAGGGCTCCAAAGGACAGTGTCTATCTGTGTGAGCTCTACAACCAAATTCCTGGACAACCTGCATGAGGTGACTGGTCCGTCTGGTCACGTAGACACCCTCAATCTGCTCAGGGCCATAGTGGTTGACATCTCCAACAAGCTGTTCCTTGGGGTGGATATGAATGGTCAGTGTATGCACTACATTTACACTCCCAGAACATGATAATTTCTAAATATATAAAAAAGAGCTACCAATGTGTCTTGTAGTTCAGTGACATGTATATTTTAAGTGACATGGCTTCTACAAATTTCTGTATTTTATGTAGTAAAACAGTTGCTAATGAAAATCCATCACTACTTTGAAACCTGGCAAGCGGTTTTGATTAAGCCAAATATTTTCTTCAAGATTGGATGGCTGTATAACAAGCATAAGAAGTCAGCGTAAGTGAAAGAGAAAATGTAACACAATAATTACATGTTCAACAGTTTAATAGTGTGTTTATATGTAGGCAAGAACTGCAAGATGTGATGCAGGATCTTCTTGACATTAAAAAGAAAAAAATTAATGAATCAGAGACATTGGATGATGAGGTTGACTTTGCCACAGAACTAATTTTTGCACAGGTGTGTGCCCCTTTTTTATTATTTGAAGAATATATATTATGCTTTTTTTTTTTAATATTTAATATTCAAACTATAACATAACATTTTACATTATAACACAATATTGTTCTTAAACAGCTTAATAACTGAATTCCTATTCAAAACTGCAATGGTATTTCTATGTGGATTTATGTGATTTTATTGTTAAAAAATGGCATGGTGACAGTTTCAACCTTATAACAAAGTCAGAATTTTGAATATTCACAACTAAGTACAGAGAAGTAAGCGGATATTTCTGAGCACTCAAGCTTTAAATTCAAGATTACTTAGTCAATAGAAACATGACTTTGAGTAATCTAATAAGTTTGAAACTTGTAAAAGTAAGAGTTTTACAATACCTTTTCTGTCAATTAGAACCATGGGGAACTGTCACCAGAAAACGTCCGCCAATGTGTGCTGGAGATGGTGATTGCAGCTCCAGACACTCTCTCCATCTCGCTCTTCTTCATGCTCATGCTGCTCAAGCAAAACCCTGAAGTGGAAGAAAAGATAGTGGAGGAGATGAAAGCAGTTTTAGGTATATCAGCTTTATATATATATATATATATATATATATATATATATATATATATATATATATATATATATATATATATATATATATATATATATATATATATATATATATATATATATATATATATATATATATATATATTATTATTATTATTTTTTTAGTTAAACAGAGAGAGATTTAGACACACCTAAGTCACTTGTCATCCCACATGACACATAGCTCTGGTAAAACTTTGGATTATGTGATTTTAGGCAACGACGGAGCTGAAAATCTAAAGCATCAAGACTTGAAGGTGTTGGAGAGGTTCATAAATGAGTCCCTGAGATTTCACCCAGTGGTTGACTTCACAATGAGAAAAGCTCTGGAAGATGACAATCTCGATGGAATCAAAATCAAAAAAGGAACCAACATCATTCTTAACCTTGGGTTGATGCATAAAACAGAATACTTCCCACATCCCAATGACTTTACCTTGGACAACTTTAACAAAACAGTAAGTCACAGATAAATGCAGTACATGTTTGGGTCAAAAGCTTGACTTATCAAAGGAAGCTATGATGACCTTAATCTGCTATGCTTTTATTTTGTTACTTGTGCCCCTCTGATTTTAAGCCCTCATAATGTAAATATCTACCCTAATATAGCAATGGGGTTAATGTGTAACTGTGCTTGGCAGGTGCCTAACCGTTATTTCCAGCCCTTCGGTTGCGGCCCTCGTTCATGTGTGGGCAAACACATCGCCATGGTGATGATGAAGGCCATCCTGGTCACGGTGTTGTCCCAATACACCGTGTGCCCTCATCAGGGGTGCACCATCAACAGCATCCGGCAAACCAACAACCTGTCCCAGCAGCCCGTGGAGGACAAGCAGAGTCTGGCCATGCGCTTCATCCCTCGCCACAACACTGACAATAAATGACAAAACTGCTAATGACCTGCCAACATAACACAAGATTCTCATAGTAATATCTTTTAGATTTTAAGAAACCATGTTCCAATTGGGCATCTTTCAACCAATAAAGTTAAACTGATTCATTAATTAAATAGTACAATTTTAAAATGTTGCATTTGGCTACTACAATATTTATGGCGTAACCTTAGCATGTATATAAGCCTGACCCTTGTGATAAACTCTATAGCTGTAACCCTGCTAAAGCTCATAATTTCTTGTTGTTCAACTGTGAAAACATAAAAAAAATCACTCTCACCCTGAATTATTTTGCACTATGGCAAAAGTCATAGCTTCTCATAACACATAGTCACATAAACAGTGCAATCTTATGGGCACTCACCTTGGATAATAACAGACTTGAGTGTTCAACTTTACATTGTTACTGGAACAACACTGTATTGAATAAGAACTAAGGTTTGTTTTAGAAAGAAGTTTATTCATTTAGCAGTATGCAGTGACAGGCACTGTGAGACTTGGGTTCTCTTTGTACCACAGGCACAACCTAAAGAGCTCTGCACTGGAACATAAGGCGTCAGTTTTACACATGTTGTTAGTTTAATGCTGTGCTTTTGAGGAAATAAATGTAGCATTCCCTACAATTTAATTTTAATCCAAACCAAGACACTACAGCACATGAAACAATAATATAAATGCAATAAATATTTTCCCTCAATACTGCCTTGATACAAAAATAGAGACATCAAAAGCTATTAAAACTAAGAGGAGGCCTTGAAGACCTTGGGGCACATAAATGCATAGATAACATTAACTTTGCAACAGATGTAAGAGTCTCTTGTAAATATATATTTACAAGATTAGTGTTGTGTTTGCTAAAAAGAAAACACTTAAGACTGAAGTAATAGAAACTAGATGTATGTATGTTTGTTACAAAACAAAAAATAGTTTCATAATTAGTTGTACTGTATTGCCTTGAATATGTGTGGTTTTACAATGATTAAGTGATTTAGCTGATTTAGCTGATTATATTAATTTATTAGCCCTTTTCAGGTTATGCTGTTAAAATAATAAAATAAAACAAACCAAAAATTTTATAATTCTTTTTGACATAATTGTTTGCACTGTTGTTACACATCCCATAGTTAATTTCACAAAAATAAAGATTTAAATAATTGTTAAAGATGCACTACGTAACATTTCTTGTGGAGGTTCCGCCACCTGCTTTGCCGAGAATGTTCCACAATATAGATTAAACCTATCCATCATGAGGGAGGCAAGCAAGTGACAACACTATGCTACATTACAATTCAGCTCTGTGGAGAGTCACCCTTATTCACAGAAGGAATTATTGTATTTTTGAGCAGAAACACTTGTTATGAATAAATGCTGGATGGAAATGTTTAATGCCATACCATTGCTCATTCCAGGCAAAGCCAAACCCTCCACCAAAAAAGTGCATAGTGCAATTTTAACATGTCAGATTTTCATTCAGTAATACTACGTTAAAACACAAACTGCAATGTGCTGATGTGAATACTGCTCTGTAAGCCCTGGTACCTCCCTTAGCAGCAGTGAAGGGTCTGGCAGTCCATAGAGAGTGAATTAGGGGGTCCTAGGTCTCCTCTAAAGCCTTCTGACAGTGGTACAAGAGGCAGTCAGGCAGCTCTGGGACTGGGGAGCGCAGCCAGACAGCCAGAGTCCCACCATGAACACGACAGTGCAGGAGGCAAGGCTCATCCTGGACCAGTCTGCAGGCTACTACCCTCCATACCTGCAGGGAGAAGAAACACAATTATTATGAGATAAAAAAAAGGAATGAATTAGAAGTGTTTTAAACATGTATGTGCTTTAGATGAAAAAACAAATGACTGCACATTAATAATATAGTTACAATGGGGATTTCACTAAAATATATAACATGTGACTCCCGTGATCACACTTTAAGAACTTTCAGGAGGAGGCAATGATTCCATGGAAATAGAGTTAGCAGACAGTAGTTTTAAGCCAGACTGTTGAATATTACAGCCAAACTAATAACGAAGATCTTTTCCAGATCAAATAAGAGTCAGGTTTGAGGAGATGCAAGCCTGTTCACAGGGAGGATGTTTTTCAGTGCAATACAAATACAAAAAAATTAACGAAAAATTGATATTTGTCTATTATTTAATAGTACCACAAAAATATTACACAAAATATATTATTTATAGATACCACAACCCGAAACTCATATTGATAAGTGAATTACTGCAGGAATATTGTTTTTTGGGGAAAACTTACAACTTACCAATCATTTCAACAACATGTAGACCAAGTTTCTTCTTCAGCAGATCCAGTGTGTCAGTGAGAGGGTCCTGCCCGTCAGTGACCAGAGCAAGGTTCTGCTTTGTATCATTGGAGAAAGTCAACCACATTGTCCCATACTGCTCTGTTGACACTTCCAATGGTCTAAAAACAAAAATGATCTGTCACATCATATGTATTGTAAAAAAAAATGTATTGATGTAAATCAATAAAATACCTGATAAAACTAGTTAATGGAAGCTTATATGAAAACTCCACTTCCTGGTTGTCTAATGAAGACTGGTAGGAAAGCATACCCAACACTTCAAAATGGACTACAGGGCTCCTTACAGTCAGTGAGTATTGACATACTGCTATAGCATCCTTTGCAATGTCTTGGAGTGGACTTTCAGATAATGACACCTATAAGACAAATAATTTATTACTAACCTAGAAAGATATACAAAATATACATCTATGGTTGCTTACCTCAAGTTGTTCAGAGCTAACATGGAGACGTGCATTCTCTATATCACTGTCAGATGAGTTCAAGATGAAAATGACTAGCAACACACAATCGTCTTTATGTACATGACAGGCAGACACCTCCATACTCTGGTTTGAGCACAAAGATGTAATTTCTGAATGGGCTAATCCTGAGAGCTTTGCAGGAAGACTTATACTAGAACACTCATCTTTGGATTTATCAGTAACTTCATTTTCAGTTAAATCAAGAGGAGTTTCTACACCATTACTCTGGACAAGAGAAGGAGTACTGTCTATTATGTCTACACTAAGGCTTGCATCTAATTCAGTCTTGGAGGGAGGTGAGGGTTCATGGGTAACTTCTGGGACCACACTGGCTGACTCGGGTATGTTGGTACAAAGCAGGTTATCTACAGCAGCGGAGGTGGAGATAGAGGAGACAGACCCCCTCTCAGTTACACCTGAGAAAGAGTTTGGAGTTTTGGCTTTTCTTCTAAATCGCTGTACCATGGGGTCGGACTTTTCCATCTGCAAAATACATACACTTTTAAACTGAAAGTTTTTTACTGTAACTAAACGAATGATTACGTTTTTATTCGTTAATTTATTTTCGTTCAATCCTGTAAAACAGGGTGAAATGATGGAAGTATTATAGCCACTCTGATGGCAAAACAACTTGAAGTAAGAAACTAGAGGGGAAAAAAAGTATTATTGTTAGATACACTACCAATTAGAAGTTTGGACATACCTTCTTGTTCAGTGTTTTTTCTACTTCATACATTTACATTTTTAAGATATCAAATATATGAAGTAAGATGTATGAAATTAAGTAGCAAAGAAAAGGTTGACCTCACAGGCGTGCTTTGTCAGGGTCAAGGAATGCCAATAATACAAAAAGCAGTGATCAAAACATACAGTCGCCATTTCGTAATCTATAACATGTTTTTAGTAATTCTACCCCTTTTTGTTTATTACAGTCCATTAGTGTTCATTCACAGTTTTGATGCCTTCAGGGAGAATCACCAGTGTTATAAAAACATATGTGTCCAACCTTTTAACTGGATGTGTGTAAATAGCAATTTAAATTAATACAGTATTTCAATTGCAAAACACAACATCTAGTTCCATATATGTCTACTGCATTAGACCTAAAAACAAAACTGCCCATTCTCACCAGGCACACAGAGCTTTGGGAGCCTAGGCCAATAAACAGGGAAGAGGCCAGCTGCTGTTTTTCATGGTCCGGTTCAGGGGTCGCTCTAGGGGTCAGCTTGTCATTGGGAGTCCCGCCTGCACCTGTTGGCTGACTGGGTGAACTGGGATTTTCAGCTTGGACAACTTCTTCAACAGGATCCTTCTTTGACAAATATCCTTCCTTCCCCCATACCCGCTTCACTCCTTCAAGCTTCAATGCAGTTGAACTAAAAAATAAGATAACTTTTAGTGGTCCCACAATCATCAGGAGTATAGAAATATGCAATCAAGATAAATTACTATCTAAAACAATTACTTAAAAGACAAATGCTGTATGTTAACATAGAGTTTTGTGTGCTTGAATATGGCAGTATAGCATGGTGTGGTGCTTGGAACAGAGACAAATTCAAGTATTATTGTCTTGAATAGCATACCTTCCTTTGAGGGAGAGCTCAGTGCTGTCTCCTGACAAACCAGAGCTCACAGACATGGGAGTAGGAGACTGCCTGCCTGTGAGATTGCAGGAGGACATGTTGATGGGCAGAGACAGCGCATAGGGCTCCAGGCTCAGAGCTGCAGAAAAGACCACAATCACAGCAAATCAAAACATGCCTGAATCCCGCCCTTTGAATCTGTTACAGCATGAATGAATTTGTGTAATACCCTTTTCCTGGGCGAGCTCCTCTTGCCGCTGGTGGGGAGGTTTGTATGGAGCAGCGCCAGCAGCTAATGCCTCTGACACAAACGCATCCAAAAATGACAAAGAGGAATCCACCTGGAAACCACCAAGCATACAATTACACAGTTATGATGGTTATGAAAAGGTCTAATACTAAGTAAAATGTGACCATTGATTTCCAGGAAAATAGTGAGGAAAACATCAATCATGAAACCAACATCACCAAAAATGAATAAATATAACAATTTATGCACATTTATCATTTAACACTCAACTTAGAAAAGAACCCCACCCATGTAACACCCACAGACATGTTCAAACCTCTGACAATTAGCCATAATAATTACTTCTATTAGTTAGGTAAATATTGTCATATGTCATGCTCACAAGAGACCATTTTAAGGATTACGACAGCCTCTCAGTCGTATTAAAAAATGACGCACTGTACAGGTAATGAATAAATTTGGGGTGTACTGATCTATATCGATATATCGGATCTGATATTGAAAAATTTGCTGGATTGGATATCGGCTTCCAAATATCGGTTGAAATGATATAGAGTTGGACATTTAAATTGTTGCAGTAAGAGTATTTATAGATCATAGTTGACCCAGAAAGAAATAATGTTTGACTTTTATTTAGGCAAAGTTTTCTGTAGTTACTTGAGGCATAAATAAAAGCTACATAACACATTTGGTCAGTTTTATTATTTATTTTAGTTTTTGTTTAAAGGAAATAAATGCAGTTTTAAGTCTGTGCACTGGTATTGGCAGATTACTTAAAGCCATAGTATCGGAATCAGTATCGGAACAGAAAAAGCTGGATCGGTGCATCCCTAAATTAAATGAGCTAAAATAATTTATAATCAATTAAACAGAATACACACATAGAATATATACAGTATGTGGTATGTGTTGCTAGAATTTATGCAAAGATAGTCTATTCTGGCAGAGACTCAAATAAAATTTTTCAATCCGGTAGCCCAAACCAGACTTATAAACTCAACTTCCAAGGACCATATCAGGGCATGTCCCGTGAAGTAATGGTACAATTTGTTTAAAACTATTTCCTCGTAGTCTAAAACTATGACACATGTAGTCGACTAAATTAGCATGACATTTTTGTTGACTACCAAAAAAAGGAGAAAAAAAAAGGCAAAAAATGTTTTTAACGTCTTGACTACATCAAAAAGTCAAAGGACTAAGTCAAAAATTGCTTGTCAAAAAGAACAATATCTAACTATAACATTATTTTACCTCGATGGGTTCAGATGCTCTGTGCAGGGGAAGCAGTCGGCCTCGCAAAGCTGAGTCTTGACTGAGGAGCTGCAGTTCATGAGCCTTCTGTCTCAGCACTGTGTCCATAGAGCTACTGTGGTCATCACAAACTGACTGAGCGATTGAAATACTGGCCTCTCCTGAACAAAGTTTCGTCATCGCCATAAGGACCCATGTCTTGGTTTCACTGCTTGTTTGCTTCATGTCGAGAAGCTTAGTGAGAAGAGTCATTACTCTGGCAGGGTCCAGATCTGTTCTTAACTGTGAGTATTCCCCTAGGACCTGTTCAGGGGTTAGGACAGAAAATAATACACAGGAGTTAATGTAAATATCAGGATACTTTGTGTCATGCATAAACACATCTTAAAATATCACAGTAAATAAGTTGGAAAATAGGAAAATATAATTTGATAAATGTTGTAAATACAACAGCTAAAAATAATGGCTACCCAGCTTATAACTTGCAAGAAGCGCTGAGGTAGTTTTCTTGTTTCTCCTTCAAGCAATGAAATATAGGAATCAACAGCAAAAAGTCTCAGCTTCCTGTTTTCTTCTTCACTGTCAAACCCTGTGACAATCAAATCAATCAAATAAAGCAATACAAAACTAGATGAAAAGTCCATGTAAAGAATACCATTGTAGTTTTTCTTACCTTCAGAAAGCAGTTTGAGAAAGCTGTTGGGGATATCAGGCTGTATCATGTCTCCACCCAAAGAAAACACTGTGTTCATGGTCTCAATGAACCATTTATTCTCTGGCGCATATGTAGATATTTTAAATAGGAAAAAGGACTGAATTCAGGGAAATTTTAAATGTTAATATAAAAATGTTACTTAAGTATTGAATTTCATTGTGTATATCATATTGTTTTAGAGGATATTTTTCTGCTATTTCTGCAACTTTTCCCACCAGGTCAATAGTAGTATGGTCATCTTTGCTCTGGTTCAAAAACTCCAACATCTTCTCAACAATTACAGTGACATTCTGAGCATTGGTGATCCGAAAGAGCAATTCCAGGGTCTAAAAATAAGCAACATGAAGGCTATATTGATAAATCATTTGACACTAACAATCTCTGTATAATCTCAATACACCTTTATTTATGCCCGAGGAGAAACTGAAACACATTGAGTAGTTATTTAGTCTTACCTCACGCTTTATAATAATGTCAGGGTGATCTAGACACTCTATGATGGTCATTTGATGTTGCAGAGCCAGTTTAGGATCTTGCTGGATGACAAAAGTGAGAGCCTTCAATCCTGCAAGAATAAAAATGTGTAAACAACATTAGACTAAATATAGCATCTCCAATTGTTTTTAAATAAAGACAAGAAAATCCAAATGTACTATTGACATGAAATTGGGAAGAATCAAATTAATGCAAAGAAAATGAACCTATAGATGTCTAAGTTGATAAACAACATTTTGATAAGACTGAAATACTGGGAGTATATAGAACGGTAAAATTACACAAAAACATGTTTGTAAAGAAGTTTGGCAGTGGGGATGTTCACAAATACAAAAACTGGTATCACAAAAGAAAAACAAAGCTGTTACAGTGGACCAAACAATCCCTTTATCTGTCATAATTAGAAACAAACTCTTTTTCTACAATATTATATGGTTTCCTGTAAACGTGTCCAATACCTTTGCCATGGACTGCTTAACATTATTATACATAACATAATACATGGAAATCTATAGGTTATAGATTTTTGTGCCTGTATGGATAACAATATTAGGTGAAGATTTCATATTAATATCAGACAATGTATCTTCTCTAAATTAAGACATTTTAAGATTAAACTTACCAAGATATTTTAGGTTAATCTTTGAAGAAATCACAAAGTTTCCAATGCATTTGGCAGCTTTTTCAAGAAGGTCAGAGTTGGGATAAACTGTATAAATACATTTCACACATTCATATAATATAGCTGCAAGAAAAGGAGACAATGTTATGTAAAAGGGTGTATAATCCAAACAGCAAATGCTTATCTTGAACTCACCATAGGTTATATTATGGTTGATCTCTGCTCTTTTCAAAGACTCATCCAGTACATCATACATGATTTCACTGGCATTTTGATCATTCTTTCCGAGAATGGACAGAATTCTTAGAAGCTGGATCTGTAGCCATGGAGCAGGCACACTGTGGTAATTAAAATCCATGGGTAATTTCCCACTCACCACCTGCTTCAAGATGGTGACAAAACTGGCAGTCAGGTCCTTATAACCTTCGGGATTATCCTGTAAGAGACAAAAAAGTAAATATGTTTAAGAAACAAAGTTAACACAATATAAAAAAAATAATAATGAGAAACCAAAGACATTCAAAGGTAACCTTGATCATCTGTAAGTAAATGTGAAGGGAGGCAAACATTACTCCCGGGTCTTTGTCACATAATGCTTTACGAAACTTGTTGTGGATGTGCTGCACTTGATTTGGAGCTATTAAATAAAACTTGTACAAAGCCAGAACAGCTTTTCGCCTTATGATTTCTCTGAAAAATAAAAAATAATAATATAATGATAATTTTTAGAAAGTTACATACACTAAATACTAAATAAATGCCTAAATGACACATACTTTGAATGATTAAGTTTCTCTTCCACCAGAGGGAGTATTGCAGGGATCATGTCTTTGGGAAACATTTGGCTGACTACTGTTAGAGCCATGCACACTTCAATCAGGTTAGTGCTCTGAAGATCCTGTAAATACAGAATGTATTTTAAATTATGTTAGTGATAACTACTGATAATATGTTGGAATATAAGACCAAACTCACTTTAAGTACAGTGTTCACGAGGAGAAGAAGAAGCTCATGATTCTCATTTAGAAATAAGCACACAGCCAAATAACCTACAGGTTTAACCAGATATTGATAAGGAAACACTTCAGTGTTTCAATGAGATAATTAGTTTAAACATTTTAACATACCAACTCTTTTATCCAAGATACTGCCTTGCTGAGCTAGTTTTATTGCATGAATGTAAGTGAATGAGGCCTCATAGCCCAGCATTTCACAGTAGATTGCTCTGACCATAGCCTCCTTCATTTGTCTCTGAAACAGAACAATTTGGGAAAATACACAGTTTCATAATGAACATAAATATTCTCATGTGCTGTAGTACCATACCATAGATGTGTTGGGGGAAGACACTTGATCTTTGAGAGATGCAAGTTCACGTTGGATAAGTTTTTCTTCTTCCTGATCATAGACACAGCACTATGTTAAAGCCATAATATAAAACACTGACAATGCCTAATTTATAAAGTACAGAATCACTGGATCAGTGCAGAAAATACTGAATAAACCTAAATTGCTGCACATCAAGAAGGGGTGTTGTATCTACTGTAAAAGTGAATGATATAAACACAATCAACAGCTGGCCCAGATTTTAGAAAACAATAGCACTGTCTATCCCTAACGCCATTAAGTGAAATCTTGGCAAAACAAAACCATGCTAAACATTTGTCAACAAACATGTGAGTTACAAAGTGAGTTACAATTAGCAGCAAAGCTAAGATAAACCTAAGCATTTATTCCACATGATGTCGTTATTTCCCACTCACATGCTTGGAGGTGAGCTCAGTGATTCCTCTGATGAGGGCTCCGAGTTTGGAGGTGGATGAGAGTTTAGCAGATCCAGGCTGTGAGTCCAGAGACAGGAGGCTCGGAAGAGCTGTCAGGGTTTTCTCAACAACATCACTCATTTTGTGAGCTAACTGGGCTTGGTAGACGGGTTTTACATCTAATATGTCAATATTTAATTATCTATCCATTTCTTGCAATCCTACATTCACTGATATACAGTAAGAGGTACAAATTATGAAAAAATTCTACTGTAATACCAAAGCCGCCTTTCGCTCATTGTTTTGATTCAGCAACTTCCTACTTTCGTATGATGTCACTTCCGGTTTTTGAAAACTTTATTAGCAATAGGAAACAGGACATGTTTTTTCGATTTCTGGCATGATTTCTGATAGTTACTGAGTATTTTCCAGTCTACGATTTTACTGTACAAATTAAGAGAGACACAGCAATGATATTCAAAATCTTTATTATGCTTGTATTTTCTTTAACAGTGTTGTTCAACTGTACACTAAACTACAAGAAATAAATACAGTAGAAAATAACAGCCATTAGACAAACTGCACAAGGAGCACATTTCTAATGCAATCATCTTTTCATCAAGTAAGAGACTGTTGTACCTGCTGTGAAAGTGGACATCAATATGTAAACACATTCAACAGCTGAACCAGATTTCAGGTAAACATACTTTTATAATTAAATTACTTTATAATTTTGGTGTACCATTAAATGTGCTTTGCGTTGTAGTGATTTGAGGCATCTTTTTGTAAACAATTGGAATCGTATAATTAAATGTACAGACATTTCATTTTCATTTTTTAAACCAGCCATATCAAATAATAGAAATCTAACCACTCAGATAAACTAAATGTGTACCACCAGTATAAATCTTTCCATTTTTGTATTTCATTTACAGACAGCATTTTAATATCTTTTAATCATAAACAATGAAATAAAATACTTTTTCCCTTTCATGTGGGCAAATACATCACTTCATTGTGTCATTTCTATTCTAGACCAACGCTATTCACTACCAGTGATATTTTCTATAATATATATTTTACATCATTATATTTAACTATATACGTATTGTGCAATGTTCTTTCAATAGTTTCAAACACAAGCGTGCCATTTGGTTTAATTACTTTCTGCAGTAGGCATGTCTACCCTGGCCATTGGGATGCTGTATATACACTAGGATATTGATATGCTCTATGTACAACCAGAAAGTCTCTATGTCTGTGATTGTACTCTAGCAAACTCAAATGCTGACGTGTCACTAGATCTGAATAGCCAAAAGTCTTGGTTCTTTAGGCCCAAATCTGAAAAACAAAAAAACAGACTTTGTTATGAGATATGACAACAGGCTAGTGCGCTGTATTTTTTGTATGTTTCCATCAGGAGTAACAAAACTTTTTATTAACTACTTAGAACAGGCAAAATGCTCTCATTACCAAAGCCATTATGCCCTTTAATGCTTGGAGTTGAGTAGATACAGGTGGCCCTTTCTTACCCTCAGAGTGTGGTCCCAGGAGCCTGTGCAGAAGGCTGTCCCATCAGGGGAAACTCGAAGTGTGCTCACTCGGTTCTCATGTCCAAACAAGATGGAAACTCTTGTTCCTTTGAGGACATCCCATACATTTATGGTATAGTCATTATAACCACCAAACAGTAGCCTTCCTATAAAGAACAGTTACAATAATCTGTATTAATGCTTAAGTTCCAATCCAAACTCTCTGATGCTCAGAGTGTTTCGTACCACTAAGAGAAAAGTCAACGCTGGAAACTCCGAATATGATGCTTTCTTTGGAATAAATGGCCACCTCTCTGTCTGCTCTTAGATCATAGAGCCGGCACTGTAAATGACGGAAATAAAATAAAGCAAATAAAGAAACTTCTAAAGAGCTTTCTCATAAATGAACCATCCTAAATACATACTGTTGCATCATCGGATCCAGAAGCAAATGCATCTCCACTAGGATAGTATCTGTTAAAAGATACAAACATGCTATAAAACACTGTATAAAATAAAAAGTGTACCTCTGAGATAACATTATACTCATTTCTAGGTAAAAAGTAAACTTAAAAAAGCATGATTTAAATGTAGTTTAAATGCAGTTTCTTGGTTCATAAATAGTATTTATCAGTTTTGTTATAATACATTGTAGTTTATATTTCATTTCTTCTCACCGCACGCTGTTGATGTCTGACTCGTGGGTCTCAAAAGACTGGATACACTGTCCCGAGCGCATGTCCCACACATTTGCCTTCTTATCACAACCCTGCAGAAGTAAGACAACACAATGCCTTTAATAATTCATTTGGGGAAGATGTAGGCAGTAAAGTTTAATGAAAGCTGAGTAGAGGAGTTTTTTACCCCTGAGACAAAAGTGTTGCCAGTTTCAGAGGGAGCCAGGTCCAGGCAGAGAACATCAGCTGCGTGTCCATGGAAACTCTGCAGCAGCTGCCCACTCTCCACATCCCACAGTGCACAGGTCCCATCCCCGCTGGATGTCAAGATCTGTAACACAGGGAAGAGGAAATGGATGCCCAATACAGCTATAAATTGATTGCTTTGACTGTGTAAATGCCATGTGACCAAAAGTCTGCAGCTAAGGGCAAAGTCCTTGTTTAAATACAGCAAGAGTTAAGGCAGAAGCAGAGAGTTAACCTGCTCCAAACAACAAGATAAATATGTCATTAGGGAGGGCATCTGGTCCAAAAAACAAAACAACCATCAAAACAAGCCAACGTAAGAAGTAACTATGTCCTATTATATTTGAACAAAATATGAAATACTGAAATGCAGGCTAAACGCTATCACTATTTACAGTGGGAATGACTGTATCAATTAATACTTAAGCAAACATGAACTCAATGCATGCACTGTAGTGCTAATCATCTACTATCCCACATTGAACTTACCTGCATATCAGAGTTGGTAAAGCTACAGGCCGACAGATAGTTTGTGTGCATTGCCACTGATTTCTTCTTTGCAGCCAGGTTCTCATTTTTATCCAGAGACAGAGGATACACAGAGCATTTGTTATCCAGACCACTGTTTTAACACAGAAAGCTTTTCATTTAAAAACAGGACCAAAGACAAGCCAACACATTTAGGTGACAGTAGTAGCACTCACCCACAAGCTACAGCGCAGCCAGATGGGGCGTAGGCACAGGCCATCACCCATGTGCAGGGCATTGTCACAGCATGCTCCTAATAAACATCAAACAGAAATGAACAGGGAGTTACAATCAATAATGAGGCAAAATTAAAAGACAACTGTGAACTCTCAACAGGATACATGTAGAGTTTATCCAGTGAACTAAGTACCTAATTGATATTTGATGTCAGACATTAAAGTACTGAAACGTTTCAGTTCTGGTATATCTACAATACTATCAACGATAAGGATACATTAATATTAGTTTGCCATTGTTGTCATTGGCACAATACTGAACTATATAAAGCAGAGATTCTCAAACTTTTTGAGTCCTGGGATCCATTATCAGGATGAAAACATCCCCAGAAAGAAAAAAAAGACTACTTTCAGTCACATATTGAAATTAAGGGTAAGGGTGTTTCCCTTCAGTGAAAATTAAGTTATCCACTTGCAACGTAGAATCTAGGAGTTACCTTGTTTGTGGTAAAAGCATCCCATACAATGACTTTTCCATCCTGCAGAAGAGATAATTACACATAAAGGTTGTACGTGATTAACTATAATAAATAAAATCAACAAATAAATCTAGTATGAATTAAATACCTGAGAAGAGCTGACAATCCTCCTCTTGTCCTTGCACCAGTCCATACACAGCACTTTGTTTCCATGTCCCTTCAGAGTCCTCCTGGTCTTCATGACAAACTGACCCAGGCCTTCCACTTTCTCTGCCACCTGATGTACTGCACACACATTTACATTATAATCACTCCTGGCTATTATTTCCACAGCATTGAGGATTAATCTGTAAAATACTCTTTACTAATCTGACATGCCCTCAAGCAAACCCCAGACACACTAAAATACCACGATTTCAGCCCAGTTTACGTAATTTATAAATATCTCCTACTACTGCTGCTCTGCTGGGATGTGATTGGTTGGATCTACTACATAGAAGGTTGGATGCAGTGGGCTGTAAAATCGCAAGGAAAAAACACATAGCCGATACAACGCCATAGACGAGTGTAGATGTGCGTCAAAACGTCACGCAAATGTAAAATAGCTAATATACAGTCGCAGAAATGTAAACCAAATCGTATAGAAGACATTTGACGTGATTCGTCCCGTCAGCGTAAGGTAGGGGGAAGCGAGGCCCTCTCCATTTTCAGCACTCACACTCGACATCGTGCAGCTTGGCTCTTTCCTCCTCCAGCTTCGACTTGAGCGTCTCCGACTCGCTTTTGAGGTGGGCCAGGGTCTCATTCAGCTGTACCTCCTGTGTCGCCATTTCAGGGATTAGAGGGGATCTCATATATTTCCTTTGTGCAGACAGCGATCGGCAGCGAAAAGGCTTAAAGCGCAGCTAACAGCTGATGCTGCTGTCATGACGTCAGAGGGTGAGGATGCTGAGAGGGCGGCGCCTGCATCAGCATCCTGCGCCCAATAGCACCTGCTAATTATAGACTACTGTCTCTCTACTGTAAACACGAAACAATCCAAACAAACTAATCAACAACAGTAACACTAACGCTGTGTGATCACATTTGTGCTGCTTGTTTGTAGTTTTAGTCACTAGCGTCATATAGCCAATTATAGTTCATTTCTAAAGATAGAGGCTTAATAATTGTCACTATAGCTATTGTATAAATTGTAAAGCTAGTAATGCAATGCAGTACAGCTTGAATATTGCTGATAAACTATTCTGTTCATTAATATTTGTATAATTTTTAACCAAACCAACAACAACAGACATCCATTTAGAGTATTAATAAGAAAAGAAAGCAAACATATTTTCACATACACATTTAATTTTACATAAATACAATTTTGTAAAAAGGTTATTAGTTACAATTCTAATCAGTCAACGTCATTTTAGAAGTTGCTACATTTCACATTGTAAACAGTTAAATACAAATTATTTATTTGTCAGAAGCTTAGTTAAAATGTTAGTGCACCTTTTTAAAAGATAGAATTCAGTATGGTATTGCTTAAGATGTACCTTGGAAAGTAAAAACAATGAAATATTTTCTAAAATACACTTTTGGCATTGACAAAATGTTAAGCCCCTGAAGCTCAGAATTGTCTTGGCTTTTTCTCCACTAAATTATAGAAGATGTAAGATGTAGCATTAATTAAAAGTATTCCCTTTGTAGTAAAAAGTTAAATACGTGTTAAAAATCCCAAATGTAGGCTTTGTGGGACTTGCAGCAGCTCTAGAGCCTGTGAGGACGGGCAGAAAGGAAATGTGACCTGGAAACGATAATCTGCATCTACCATCAGCTGAGTGGAGCCCTCAGGACGATCCTGCAGCAAAGACTAAAACAAAAAAATAATTCTTAAGACTACAAAATACTGTCTGTCTGACTTACTTACTTGAATAAAAAAAACAATCCTTAACTTACCTGAACGTTTTTAACAAAAGATGGAGTGACCCTTTTCTCAAAGTCATCTATAGGTGTATAGGAATTCAAGATCTTCACAATCTACAGCAGCAAAATAAGTTTCATTATTAGTGTAAAGTTTAAGTTCTTTTTCAAATTTACAGACACAGTGAAAGAGGAAAAAATCATAGCTTGTTTGAGAGACAATGATGATAAAGAGAATGAGTTACCTGGACAGAGTTGAGCTCAGTGCATTTGTCAGAGATTTCTTGAGCATCTTCATCTGTGGATTTGTTGACCTGCAGTAGCCAAGCAGCCTGCGATAATGGCTTTAGAGTGTCCATGGCGTTAGTACTCAGAAGATCTTTATCCTTCAGCCACTCCTCCAGATAGCTGATGTTACATCTATGACATACATATTTGTAAATTGTACAACTTTATGATAAAAAATATGGACAAAATTTGCATATGCATATAAAGTTATGACTTTTAGACAGGAAAATAAACCACCTTTACAGGTGTATTGCGCAACTTTTCTGGTTGAGGGTTCGTCAAATACTTTTCTTCATGGAGATATTATTTCTTTGACTTGAACGTTTCATGGTATGATATTAAATCTTTCTATCTTCATAGAGACCAAACCAGGACAAGTTACAGGTCACTCCACACTGGAGTCATCTGATGCGCACTAACACACATGAAAACTTAAAAAGGCTTTATCTCTTGAGGTGTTTTGAATAGGAGTTTTCTCTGCTGATTACTGACTACATGAGAAATGTAGTGTAATGATGAGTGTGGAGAGGTGGTGGTTTGAGCAGGTTAGTTAGGTTAGGTTGTGTGGAGGATTTTATTTATTTTTTATTTTTAATTGTCGATGAAAGTTCAAAATAGAATTATAGAAATGCAGCAGCCTTGTAATTATGATGACAAAAAAAAAGAAAATAATGAAAATCCATGAACTGTGGACGTGGTGGGTGCAGATAAACATCAGCCAAAAGATAACAAGGCTACCTCTTTATCTATTGGCTTTTGGGTTGTTAATCAAACTCCCTATGTTTCTAGTGTCACTGACTTGCCGGCACGCTGGGATTATGTTTTCATTCGCCTCTCACTCACTGATTCTGTTTACTCAACCAACACAGCGGTTCTTAGCGTCTTTATCGAACTGTAGCTTCCTCTCAGTTTGCACAAAGTTTGCTGTAATGGCAGACAAGAATTCACAACCAGTTCGCTGCAAAAGAAAGTCTGTTTTTGACGTCGCTGAAAGAGGAAGAGAAGGGGAAGAGAAGCTCGATATATGAAAAAGGACAAACAGTCGCTGCATTTCTCTTTCCTTGGAAAATCTTCTATACAACCTTTAAGTTTTCCAGGCAGAAAAAGAAGCAGGAGAAGAGGTTGTGCTTTCTCTGCCTCCGCTGCAGCTCTCTGCTTTTTGACCATAAATGTAGATATCTGATTTGCACACCTGATTTGCATGCCTTTCCTGCAGGAGCACAAATCCTTCCGTAGCATCATGTTGTTGAGTGTGGCTGCTCCGATAATGAAGAACACTTGTTTTATGACTTGTCTGACCAGCCCTTGCTCCATGTCATGCTGCATCATGGTGCTGTGGAAATGACTGAGCTGCTGTAATATGGAGGAGATGGTGTAGTTCTCTGACTCCTCCTCATACACACTGTTCGACCGCTTCCTCAGACCTGTCGGCTTCATGCTGGAGATGCCCTGTAAGCTCTCGTGCTCCAACATCCCAGGAACTGAGAAGAAAAGAACACATTTTAATTGGACCAAACAACAAGGACACAAGTAATAATAATTATTCACTAATTGCACTAGAGCCACTGCTACCCTGAATTGTATTTCTCAAAATGCCTTTTCTGTCATAAACCTTGTTAATCATCAGGGCAGCTGACAGGGGGGTATAAAGGGGTCTGTTATGCCTTAAGGGCCCAGAATTGGACCCTTTTCCTTTTCATTTGTATTAGGGGGGGGCCCATGTGAGACTTCTTGCCCCGAGTCCCCAAATTTCTGTCGACATGCCTGAGTCATCCACAGATGGGACCCGCATATTTGACCCTTTGATGCTACATAACTTTGAACTGTCTGTTTATGCTATCTACTACATACCAATAGTGGGAGTCAAAGCCTTCTCTATGACTGAGATAAACTGGTGGTAAATGTGAATGGCCAGGTCGCTCATGATTTGTCGGTGCTCTGACAAGTCAAAATTCTGCAGGCAGTTCTTCATCTGACGAGGAGTATTGTGTTTCATGAACTCCTGGATTGGATTATAAGGAAACATGAGCTCTGGTTAAAACAATATGAGGAGAAAAGCAGAGTAGTATTGTGGTTATGCAGAGGAAATGGACACCTCTTCACCACTGTACTGCTTCAGACAGTTGAGCAGCAGACATGTGTTGGAGAGCCAGAACGACAGCAAATCCAAATCCTTGTGATACGTCTGAAAGAGCAAACAATGATGACTACATTTTTTAGCTTTCCAACAAATGACAAGAAAATTCACTTTATCACTTAATTATGTAATTGGACGAAGTTAAACAGTGTATGCATTTTTTGTATGCAACTATAAAATCTTACCATAATGACCTTCTTGATCCCACTAATGATTGAGTTCATCAGAGACTTGAGTTTGGCGCTATCGTTCAAGTAATCGGCGTGACGGACACACATGAACAAGATGTAGGCTGGCAAAGTGGGCATCATGTTCACCACAACACCTTTGGGCTTCAGATCTGTTTTATATCATATGAAATAACAGAAATTGTATGAGATATTTATGAGGTCTGTTGAATTGTAATACAAATTCATGGGAATTAAGATGGAACCACCTACCTATAATGATGTTTTGAATGAGTTTGGCTTCATGCTCTCTTTTGTATTCCAACATTCCCAAATATTCTTTAGGAATAATTGAGAAAGATGTTTGCTTGGCTGTGAGATAAACAAAAAATACAATTAAATAAAAAAAGAACATGTAGAAGATTATTTTACAGCAGATACAAATGAAAACATCTATTCTACAAAACTTACCCTTTTGTAATAATTCAAGGCTTTTAATTTGACTTCTAAGTTTCTTAATTAGTCTGTCTTTTTGATCCAGTTGCTCTTCAAAATCCTGGAATAAAGAAGGAATAAAAGCCTCATATAGCATTAGTAATACACAAAGCAAAACTTTGAACACATGAAAAGTAAGGTTATGTCAATATTATAATTCAAATTGATTTATATAAGCCTCAAACCAACCAACACACCATATTCTTAGCAGTCAACCGGGCTGTTTCATATCGGAGTCTGGTTTTAGCTTCGCTCTCCATCTGATGCAACCTCTTCAAGTGATCATTCTCTTCTTCCAGCTCCTCAATTCTGTCCTCAAGTAGACCCTTCGACGCTTCTAGTTTCTCAGCTTTTTCTTCCAAGACCCTAAGAAATAAAATCAATACATTTAAACATGAACTTCATCAGAATATGATGAAGACGATAAAGAGAAAAGGTAGATGGTACCTGCACTTTGAACTTTCATCGTGAATTTTCTTTTGAAGTACATTAGAAATTTCCTGAGTTTTGTCTGGCACATAACAAAATAGGAAAGTTACCACCAGTCACAATCACAAAAAAAATGTCTAAAATGTGAACATACCTTCCAAATCTCTACTCTTCACTTCTACTTGTGTTTCAAGATCTTGCTTTTGTCTCTGTAGTTCTGATACTTGCAGTTTGAGCTCAGGGATCATCTAAAATAAACCAAACAAATAAATAAAAAATAAAAATAAAAAAACATAAAATCCGCATATTAATATTTGGACACACCAAGTTCTCGCTGCTGAGTCTGGACACTTCTTGGCGAATACTGTCATTAACATCACTCTTTTCCTGAAACAGATTTTGCAGCTTGCTGTTTTCATTTTGAAGATGATCCACTTTTAACTTCAATCCCTTGACTTGTGTCTCATAATTTTCCTTTTGCTCCCTCTGGTGGTTCTCAAGAATTCTACAAAAAGATGAAAACAAGTCAGACAAGATGAGTGTGTGGTTTATGGGAAATGGAAATAAATTAAACCTGGTAGCTTTCTGCAGACTATCAAATGCCATTATCAAGTCCTCAATTTCATAGATTTTCTCTGAATCATTGGGTGTTAGCCTGTGGATAAATAATGTTTCAGATTCAAACAGAAGGTATTTAGACTAATTATACTGTTAAATAATATAAGCTTTACTCCTGTAATGTCTCCTCTTCAACCACTTCTCCAAGTAGCTGTCGTGTAAACTCATTCATTTTTGCTGCAAAAAATAAAAAGGATTAAAACTCTTGTTATTATGAAAGGGCAGGGGACAGTGGTTTGAGGTGACATGAAGTGACCAAAAAGGTGGGGGTCCAGCCCAGTTGTAACAGAGTGTACCTAATAAAGTGCATTACCTCTTGCCTGTTCAGACTGCTCCTTGATCTTTCGGTCCATGCTGTTCCTCTGATTCTGCAGGTTGCTGAGCTCGCGGCGGAGCTCAGGGATTACTTTGACATGTCTGCTGAGCTGCAGCACCTGCTCCTGGAGGTCAACGTTTACCTGAACACTCTCCTCCACTTTCCTCTCCAGCCCTGCCTTTTCCTCTCTCAATCTCCTCATTTCTTCTTTGAGCACCTCCACCTCTTTCTCATGATCCTGCCTCAAGAGCTCAATACTGTTTTCTGCAATTCTGGATAAACAGTAACAGAATTCAACATACAACACAAAATAGGAGACTAGAATAAAATTAAAGGATGAGTATTTCTTACTTTCTTAATCTAGCTTCATTTTCTTTCTCTTCAAGAAGATTCCTTTTTATTTGATCAAAATTCTCTGAAAATGAATTGTTTTAATGTTTGTTTGTCATTATATCAAAGTAGGTAGCAGTAACATAAATTGGCATGTTACCTTTAGCCTCTTTGGTGGAGATTTCATATGCTTTTTCCAGCTTCTCTTTATCAAGAGTTAATGCCTCAATTCGTACTTTGAGTTCTGCAAATGTCTGGAGTGAAACCATAACATATTACATTGGATATCAAATAGGCTATATAATGCAGCTGACTTTCTAACAACATAAACACTAACCTGACTAGCATCTTCTTTGGCTTTCTTTTCTCTTGCCTCCAGTGATGCCTTCTGATTGGTTGACTTTTCCAGCTGTGCCTCTATACTTTGAAGACGATTCACAGTCTGGGAATGTGTATTGGCCAAGGAGGTCAGTCTCTCCACCAAACCATGATTTTCTTTGTTCTGCACATTTAGAGAGTTCAATTATATGAACAATTAAAGACCACACTTTGCAATAAAATCCTGTGTCACCTGCTCTTCCACTTTCTTTCGGAGTTGCTGCACCCTATAGGAGAGCTGGACATTTTGTACCAGCCGACGCATGGTTTGAAAGCGTCTCCGGGCCAACCATGCTCTGGCATACTTCTGCAGGACCTGTGCTTTGTGATCCTGTAACATCTGCAATATAATATAATTTTGTAGCACTTGGTTATTAAACTAAGATGGACAATAGTTACATTTTTCATCAGAGCCAATAACGTTGTCTGTTTCAAACTGTTTACATAAAATACATATTATAAAATGAAAAAATATATGAGTAAGTACATACCGTCTTGTAGCGCCTGCGGGCCAGCCAGCCACGAGTGAAGGCCTGAATAGTGACAGTGGCCATTCGAACTACATAAAAGATCTGCCTCACTCTGTAACCTCTCCAGTGTCTCTGGATCACCATAGCTGCCCAGCCCTGCTTCAGTGTCACAGCACTCACAGTTTTACTAAAAAGAAAATCAAACATTACAAGAATGACTAGGGCTAAATTCTTATATAAAGGAGAAATTAAAATTTTTTATATAAACAGTCTCTAACCGGATTTTCCTTTTCCCTCTGAGGTACTGTTGAAGGATAATTGCTGCTTTTCTCCAGCGCAAATATCTCTTCCTCTGAATCCATCCCCGAACATGTTTTTGGATCGTGATGCATGAACCTCTCAGATAGTCCAGACGCAGCTTCTCCAGGTAAGCCACTTGACCGGCACGAAAGAAGATCTTAGTCCGACCAAACTTGTACTGGTTTGAATCCTGAAGTGAAAAATATACAAAAAATAAATGAATAAAAGAATGGGATAAGTTTGAAAAAGGTCTACCCAAGAGAGTCACATTTTCCCCTAGAAAGCCCATCACTAGACATTTGGTTGCATATTGTATATTGTGTATATGACAATAAACCACATTATGAAGTGTGTTGCCTTGAAATAAATAATAAATAAATAATAAATAAGAATATAAAGTTCACTAACCTGAATCAGTCGCTGTAAAACATTGATACAAGTCTGTTTTTTGTCTCCAAGCTCTGTGTCCTGATGACTCCTGAGAATACTGTAGCGACTATAAAACTCAATATATGTCCACCTAGAAGAGTAAACACGTTTCATATTTAGTTGCATTCAGTTACAGTAGTTCTATAGTAAATATATACCTAGATGGGTAGCTTTGTGCACTAATGCGGATAGTTTCCAGGACTCCACATGCTCGCAGCTGCTGCACCACCCTTCCGCTGTCATATCTTGAAAAACATGCAAACTTATGCTAAGTACAAGAAATGCCATAATAACTTAAATACGCAAATGACAGTAGTTACTTACTCAAAGGGAAGTTTTTCATCATTTGGCTTGATGCAGCGCACATAGTGAGGAGTGGTGGCATTCAGGGTTTCCATGAGTAAAGAAAGAGAGCTGCGGAACTTAATTGAAAAAAAACAAAAAACAAGCGCAATCAGAGATAGCAACCTGATCCCCAATGAGGCATCGGTGGGGGCAGTTCATCACCACGGAAGCCAGCTTATGACAAGCCCAGCCCATACCCCGGTTATATGTGTGCCAACTTGTGTGATGATTGGGTGAATATTTTAGCCCGCAGATGGTTCAGAAATTGCCGAAATTGCCTATCCTTTATAATGGCGTGACCGTTCAATTGACCCGTGTGACCTCAAATGACCTTGGATCGTCACCAAACTTTTTTTGCGGCATCGGGCATGGGGACTTGACGCACATACCAAGTTTGGTGACAATCGATCCATAAAATTGCGGAATTATCGTGGGTGGACAGACACACAGATACACACATACACAGACACACAGGGTGAATACAAAACCTGGTCAATCCTTCAAGAACCAGGTAAAAAAAAGTTAACTGAAAAGCACAACTGCATCTATGGTTAATATATAATGAATATAGAATATAGTATTTTGAAACTCTAAAGCTGATGCCATCAACGCTCCCTGGGGGTGTGAAGCTAACAGAAAGCACTACTCTGATAGAATCTCTGTTACTCAAGTTAGACTTAATCTGAGGTTTATTTAAACACAATCTGACCAGAAAGAGATGACTTGATTGGAACTACAATAGGTGACAGTCATAAGCTAGCTAGTAATAGCCGTTGTCACCTTTTTTGTTGAAAATCAAACACCTAAACGGGACCATGAACAATCGTATTAATCACAAGCTTCTGAAAATTACTTGTCTAAATCCCATTTTATATTTTCTCTTGAGTTATCAGAACGCTTATCGTATCTTAAAACTTGTATGTATTGTGTCACCATGGTAACTACTGAATATTCTGCCAATAGAAATACATGTAGAACACCCCCAGTGTGACATCACAGCAAAGTATGACTAAATAACAATGTGTATCTAGTATTTGTGGAAATTGATTATATACTTCTATGTTGTGTAATACAGTACAAAATAAATTCTCATTGACTAGCAGTGGCTAAATGTTATCTTAAGTAAATTTGCAAACCTTATCTCCCACTGAGGTCCTGAGCTGTTTGTTCGTTGGTTTGACTCCAGGTCGGGCAGGTCGCACCTTCACACCTTTATTGTTCACAGTGGCTTGATCAGTGTCTTGGAAAAAGGTGGCCAGAAAAGGAAGCTGTACATGCAAGAAACAAAATTATAATATATAACTTAGACAATTTTGTATAGAATATGGGTCTTTTTAAAGCAATTTATGGTTACCTTACTATCTCTCATAATATCAACAAGTTCTTCATAAAGAGCATCCCTGTTCTTCTCAAGGAATCCATAACACTGATATTCAACCTAGTAAATGAGTCAACCATGAACAATAAGTCATAGGAATAGGCCATTTCAGACTTCACATTTCACATTTAGAAGGCAATTATAGTTTGTGTGGTTTGTTTTCAATCTGCAGGAGTCAGTATCAGTCTATGTAATCTATATGTCAAATATCGATCAAATGAAAGACTCTAGCTGAGCATTGTGTAATAGGGGAGTTGCATGTGGATCTGTGTGTGGTTGTGTTATACTTTACTGAAACAAATAAAAAGTAGTGATCCTTTATACCTTGTCTGCAAAATGTTGTATTATAAATGCCTCATTTTTGAACTTGGGCTTTTCAAACAGTGGGCTATGTTTTAAGTAGTTGTACAGCTTCTGGAGCCAGCTTTGATCAGTGCCTTGAGGAAACTGCAAATGAGGTAATAATATTTCTTTAGGTTGTGATTCAAATAAAGCATACAGTTGAACAAATTGCTAAACGTCATACCAAGCATTCTTCGTCAAGCAAATCAAGGATACCCATTTTAGCTTCAATAAGGTCAATGACTGGTTGATTATCGTAAAAATCGATTAGTGTCCACGGGATGTCCTCTTTCATGTACTCCTCCTGCTCCAGCTTGAACACATGCTGTTGAAGAGAGATGAAATATTGAAATGTATATATTTATAATAAAAAAAAAAATATGGATGCAACAATTAAAATATGAAAATAAAAGGGAAAAAAATGTGTACGTACCAAGTTAAACTGCTGTTGAAGCTTCTCATTGGCGTAGTTAATACAAAACTGTTCAAAGCTGTTTATGTCAAATGTTTCAAAGCTAAGGACAGAATTTATGATTAAAATGGGTGCATGCACATGTTCAGAAAATCATCTTGTTTTGATTACCCATAAATGTCCAGGACGCCAATAAAAGCGTGTTGTTTTCCAGGTACTTTCAGAGCAGTGTTGATTCGGTTTATGATGCAGTCAAACAGATGAGCGTAGATCTGCTTGGCGAGGGCATCCCGGGCATTTATGACACGTTTCTTTGGCAACGGCTTCACCACTGTCTCTGCCGCAAGAACAATCCTCCTATGGCACAACCAGCGAGCCAGATCCACTGCATTGACTTCTAGGAGCTCACAAAACACTGACAGGTGTGGGTCACTGGGCTGGAAGAGGGAAGCACAGAGTACATTTTAAACAGGTAAAAAATAAACAGCTTTGTAAACAACTGAACTACACATTTATTGTACTGCCAGTGTGTGTGCAGAGACATATCCACAGTCTCTTGTGTGAAGAGTTTATTAAAAATACTATTGCTATAGTGGAAATATATATCTTAATGTCAATGTCAATGAGATTATTTAAAAAAATAAAATAAAATTCTGCTTTAAAATACTATATCTAATATTGGGCAAAAGACCAAAAGACTTACAGGTATTGAAGATTTGTCATCTCCTGAGCTTTTTATTTCTACATTTCCCAAATGTAAAATGGCTGCCAAAACTTTGAACACATCTATCTGGAAATCTTCATTCAACCCTGAACAATAAATAATACACTGGTGAAAGTGATTCAAGATTTGAATTAACAGTGACATTTATACTTCATACCCAGCAGAGCAAATGTTTGACGGGTTTCCTCCATGTCCTTTTTATCATCTACTCCTTCAATGCTGATGTCTCCACCCAAACAAGTGTACTGGAACTCATCAGCACTCACTGCACATGAATGACATATGTTATTACAAGTAATTACAAGTTAGTATATGTATGTTAATATACTGCATGTACAAAAGAAGCAAACCCACACAGCCTTAAGTTCTTGAACTCTGGCAGCTTGGCACAGGAGCACAGTTGATAGAAAATGTGGTAATTCCTCTCATTGTCTGCCTGAACAAAATTTGAAATAACATAATTTGGTTGCAAATTATGTATGAAAAACAAGATAAATAAGAATCTACATTCAACGATCTTGCACTACCTGGAAGACGACTCTGGATTTCTCAAGAAGATAGGTCCTCATATTCGCTCCAATGATGCGGTACCTCCTGTCAAAACCAATCTCGGTGTATTTCCCAAAGCGGCTGCTGTTGTCATTCCTTGTTGTTTTGGCATTTCCTATTGCCTGGAAAAATACATAAAACATTGGAACATGACATGTGATGGTGACATACTGTGAAGCAGGCTACATATATAGTTTTATGGTTGTGCACACAAACATTGTTACCTCGGTTATTGGGTTAGAAGCCAGGACTTTGTCTTCCACTCGAGTATTACTGCCTGATTTACTTACAACAGCAAAGTACCTCATTGCAAATCGAGCAGATACTGTTTTACCTGCTCCTGACTCTCCACTGACTATTATAGATTGGTTCTTGTGATTTCTGAAAGATGAAAAATATATACAGGCCTATTGTGAATATTTTTACTATACTAGTATTTATACATATATAGAACACAGTTTTACCTGGCCATTTGCTTGTAGGCTTCCTCTGCCACAGCAAATATATGAGGGTCCATATCTCCCACGTTTTTGCCGGAGTACGCATGAATGATTGCATCTCCATAAATAGGAAGTTGTTTGTAAGGATTTACAGCTACCAATATGATACCTGGCAATGGGGAAAATGTCAGTGCTCATTTATGAATAAAATGTACACATAAAATACAAATATTTAGATGTACCACAGTAGGTATAGATGATTTTGGACTCCACAAAGCGCACTTTGAGATTATGCAGGACAGCGGGCTCATGCAAGTAGCTGAGAGCAGTGAGGTCATTCTCCCCCACTAAGATGTCTGGGTTACGGAGAGGAGGGAGCTGAGGAGCGGATGAGTCAACTGCATAGTGAAGCTCCTATCAAAGCAAGTACAATAATGACACAGCCCTCTTATGTGTGGATTGCTTTATAGGCTATGAAACAAACAGAAACGATCATACTGAGCCATCTTCAAGAAGCAACTCAAGGGCACTGTCTCCAAGATGAAAATCCCTTGTGATTTCGGCTGATTTCCATATCTCCTCTCCATTTGGGATCCAGACCCTGTTGTACTGAAAACAAATCATTGAATAGAGATTAAAGAGCCTATATTATGCTATTTTATTGCTATATGCTATCTCATCTATGTTATAATGTTGTTTCCTCATCCAAAACATCCCCAGAGTTGTATTTTGTTTCATTCACACACAAATCCTGCATATTAAGGCCGAGTTCTTTTCTCAGACAGGAAACACTCCACCTTGTGATGTCATGAGGTAATACTAAAAGTGCTCCTCAGTGCTCCTCCATACACCTTCACTAGAATTTTCTGGATGATTTCAACCCTGGACTTGCCAATCTCTACTGAACTAAAGGTATTTGTTAACTTCAAAACTACAGTATTTTGAGCTTGGGGGATGCAGACAGGCTAATTAGAAAGGTTTATTCGAACGTGTGAAAGAAACAAACAAACACACAATCAAACAAAACCAACTCCAGGTATTTTTGACGAGGTAACAACATGCTAAAACTCACAAACTCACAATTTGCGTAAAATAGGACCTTCTCTTGGGTACAATTAAAAAGATATATCTCTGACACGTTAATAACTTTCACTTTTAAGTACGCATATCAATCCATCCAGCTCCTCATCTAGACACCTGTCTCCTCTGACATAGTTCCCATATGTTTTAGTAAAACCAAACTTCTTGCAGCTTTTACTCAAATGCACTTCTCTCTTACCTTCGTGTACAGCTCCAGCAGAGACATGTTTGCGCATTTTATTAGTGAGATTGAACGAAGCCTACATTTGTTCACTCTTTTCCAGGTCACTAACAATTTTCCTTCACAAAAGTATCCAAGTAATGACAAACAAGTTACTATCTATCACAGATGCGCTTCCGGCTAGTAAATACAAAATAAGAAAAGTAGAAAACAGAACAGAACAAATACAGGCTTACATTGTGAGCTGCTACCGGTATTTCAGCTCATGAAGTGTCCAAGGATTATTGAATGACTTTTTCTTTACATTTTTTTCCACATTAAGTTAACATGCTGCTGGTTCACGATACGCAATAATTGACCTGATTTTATTTGGAAAGAAATTGTGTCTTTGTTTCGGTTCGTACTTCCGTTTGAGCCTTCACCTGTCGCGGACTTTGTTTAAGCCCCGCCCCTACATCTTGTGACAGCGGCTTGACTCAGGGTGCGCTCGTTTGGACAAGGATTTGAGTCTCCAGTAGAAACCGGATGCAAACTTTCCACTGTTATGTCGCAAGTGCAGTGGAAATAGGACCATCACATAGCAACGTGTTTTTCTTAAATGTGAACAGGAGAGAATAAAAAGCACATATGCACTTGTAGCCTCTATACATGCTACATATACGTACTGTACAGAGGCCTATAGGCTATAGACATGCTTTAATAAACACATTATTGGCATCGTTTTCAGATTTAACAAATTTATTCAGGGTGGCAACACAAGAATATGACACATTCATCAAATGCAAAATGTTCCAACTAGAACTTTTAAAAAATGTTTTCAAAGTAATAAATATTAACGTTTTAATAAATTAGTAAGCTTCCCAAAGGAAAAATCCAAGAAAACAGAAGTCAGCAATGCTCAAATAGGCTAGTACGTAAAAAAGAACATTTTAAAATGGGATGATTTATAATAGAACATCTTATAAAATGCTTATAAAGTGATATATTAGACATCACATTTAAAATACAAAGAGCAAAGCATCATAAAACAGAACTAAAATTATTAACCCACACGTCATCTGCTATTGAATTGAAATGAAGGTAGTTTTGCTTCAGTACTGACACATTTAGAAAGTAACAGTCTAGATGCGTGTGAGAAAGCCCACATTGAGACTTGTGGGGATCTGAATGGTGTCAAAAGCCACAGGGGAGGCTGTGAAGTGGATAGTAACATTGAAAATCTTCTTTGTGTCCATCATCAAAGTGGGTGGCTTGTCTCTGTCTTTGAGAAGATCCTATGGAAGTAACAATAAGATATTCATCTTGTGCATTTGAAAAATAGATAAGAAGCACAACACTTTGGTACTTACCTTAATTGTGTCTATAAAGGTAGTGCACACACGCTCTTCAAATTCAATAACTGGTGTGTACAATGTCAAAATCTTTATAATCTGTGAACAGAAAAAGGGATCAATTAAAATAAATCCAAAATAATAAAGGTAAAATAATATAAAAATGGTTGAGTTAAAGTACATAGTTTATAGATTACTAAATAAAGCAGAAGTGTTAGAAGCTATAGACCTGAGCTGGAGTGAGTTCAGTGCACATATTGCAGATGGCTTGGGCGTCTGCCTCCGTCTTCTTCTTGATCTGTAAAAGCTGTGCAGCCTGAACGAGGGGCTCCAGCATCTCTTTGGCCCCACTGTTAGCCATATCCTTCTCAGTCAGCCACTCCTCCAGCTGCCAGACATTGTACCTGGAAACACAGCAAATTGCGTATCACTATAATCTGGCTGGATAACAGGCTCATATTAGGCTTTAGGAATCTGTTATTATAATTCTGTAATGATTTATGCTTTGATTTTTATGATGTTAAACACATTTTTCATCAATTGTGAAATATTGTGCATTCTCATTTGCACACATAAACCACAGCAACTGGAACTAAACTTGGAACTAAAGCTGCACTAGAAGATGACAAAGCCAGCACCATAACAGGACCAAACCAAGTGTACATCTGGACTAAATTGGGCTCAAACTGGGACCAAACCAGGACAAGAATGAATGCACCCATTGTTATTGCTCTAGTTATAAGGTAATTTCAGTTGAATTTACTGTCATTTGTTGTACTTACCAAAGAGCTTTTGTGCTATTGTATCAAAACTACAGTTAATCACTGCAAATCTCATTTACTGTTAACACAAAAAGCAGAAACCTCTTATGACACAATGTATGCCTTTTGTGCATTTTTGCAAAGCTGTTGTTCAGAGTCATCAATTAAATCTATTTAACAAAAAAGTAAAATGTCTTCTTTTTGTATACCTGATCTGCAGTCCTTTACTCCAGGAGCACATGTCTTTGCGCAGCAGCAGGTGGTTGAGTGTGATTGCACAGATGATGTAGAATTGCTGTCGGACCACCTGTTGGATGAGGGGTGGGTCCATGCCGTGTTGACTCATGGTGGAGAAGAAAAGGCTGAGTCGTTGTAGCAAGTCCTCTATTGAAGAAGTCGCATCAAAACTACTACTTTTCTTTCTAAGACCAGTTGGTTTGGATCCCAGCACACCCTGGATGTTCTCATGCTCCAGCATACTTGACACTGTATAAAAAACACTTTAATTCACACTTGTACTTCATTAAAGGATCCATATGGTAAATGGTCACATTTTTCTATAGCGCTTTTCCACCTTCAAGGCACTTAAAGCACTTTACAACAAGGAACCACTCACCCATTCACACACACATTCACACACCAGTGTACGCAGACACTGTGGGCAAGGTGGGTTAAGTGTCTTGCCCAAGGACACAACGGCAGCATTCATCTGTGGGAGCTGGAATCACACCAGCCAACCTGTGGGTCAGTGGATCTGACCACTCAACCTGTGATGTTTATGTTGAAAGCTGGATTCAAACCGCCAACCTTCACATCAGTGGGCAAATGCTCTACCAACTGTGCTACTGCCGCCCATATGACTCTGTTTTCTGATTTTTGTTATTTTTGTTTCCTCATTAAAAGCATACCTGGAATTGTTTTTTGTTTCATTCATATGTTAAACTCACAAACACTGCATATTTAGGCTGTGTTCTTCTCAAACTGAAAACACTGTTTGAGAAGAACACAATGTTCACACACCTTGTGGTGTCATGTTGTAGTACAGGAAGTGCTCACTGCGTATTTAAATATACATCATACACCTTTATTAGAATCATTTGAATGACACTAGCCATTAAGTTGCCAGTCTCTACTGAAGTAAGACAAGAGTAATAACTAAGAATTACTCAAACATGTCTGAATGAAACAAACACAACTCTGCGTATGTTTTTAAAGAGGTAAAATAAAAATAACAAAAATAAAGTATGAATAAAGCATTACATTAGAGAGACAGACACATATTACTGTTTGGGTACAAGTGAAAAGTGAAGATACAAACCAATAAGAGACTGCATTATGTCCTCCATGCATTTGATGAGTTGGCGGTATATCTGGATAGCGAGGTCCTCAAAAACCTGCTGGTACTCAGACAGCTCGAAATTACTCAGGCAGTGGTCATTCTGTTTGGGTGTGTTTTGCTCTGAGTATACCTAAACAGGAATCATATTAAAATGATAAATTATGAGTAGAAAACATCCACTCAAAATGAGTAGTGCATTAATCTCTTGTATCTACAAAAGCTACAAATGTATGTCTTTGGAGAAGCTTTAATGACTTGGTTTAACTAAAGACATTTCAATACAATTATTTGCATTTTACCTTTTCTCCACTGTATTGCTTAAGACAGTGCAATAATCGACAGGTGTTTGACAGCCAGAAAGAAACCACTTCAAAGTCACTTCCTCTTTTCTGAAATAGAGCAAATGTTTAAAATATATCATACAATTAAAATTAGGTTGTCGTTTCTCATTGAGATAACCTTAATAACTCCTTTGATGCTGCTGATTGTGCTATTGAGCAGTGCTGTGACCCTTTGATCGTTGTTGACATTGTCTGCATATCGAAGGCACATGAAAATAATATAGGCAGGAAGACCAGGGATAAAACTGACCGCGACACCACGAGGCTTCAACTCTGAAGAGATAAAAGCATACCATTAAACTGTTTCACAGAATTGTATAATAACTGGTAACTGTATAATAATTGTATGCTTTTTAGCCATACCAGTGACCAAGTTCTTGAGCAGCCGGGTCTCATCTCCCTGCTTGTACTTCAACATGCCCTGGTATTCTTTCTCTTTGCGAGTAATATTTACGTTTATGGCTGGAGGAGTTACTGTAGAAGCCCTCTCCTTTAGTTGAGCAGTTGCTGCAAAATGAAAAGAAAACAGTTTTTGATCAATGCAGCTTTATTTTCCAGTTAATATTTTTACATGCTTAGAGTTACCTTCATATTCTTCCACCTTTTTCATAAAGAATTTAAGTTGCTTCCTTAACTTCCTGATTATTTTGTCCTGTCTTTCTTGCTCCTCCATCAGTTCCTATATTTACGTACAAATGAGCAGTCTTTAAAACTGAAGATCCACAAATAATGAATTGCTTAAGAATAAAGAATCTCTTCACACAAATAAACTGTTCATTCAGTGATCAATAATTTCTTTCTAACAGTAAATAATATTTTATTCTGAATTAAAATGATATAACAGCAACTTACAAGGTTTTCATTAGTTAGCTGTGTAATCTCATGCTTGAGACCTGCATCAATCCGTGCAGCCTCAGGAAGTTGAAGGCTTAGGGCCAAAAACTTCTGTTGCTCTGCTCTGTCATCCTTCAGTCTGCTCAGCTCCTCTCTGAGGCGTTTACACTCTTCACTGTGTGTGCGTTCCTGCTCACGCATTTGGCACTCAAGCAGCCTGAAATAACAAGAAATCACATGTGGATTATAGTGTCCATGGTTTTAATCTTCAACAATGGTGCTGTGTGCTTTACCTGTTAGTTTCCTTCAAACCTTCATAGGCCAACCATAGTTCTCCATCTTCATTTAATGTATGGACATTTTTAGACCTGTGTCCCATAATAATCAGTTAGACAAGTACTATATGAGTCATTGGAAATGAAGACAAGAAGAAAGTCTTACCTGCCAGTACCTTGATGTGAAGGCATCTCAGTCAAATTTAATTTAACACTATCACCTAGCTCAGAATCCTTTAAAAATAAATGGTA